ACTTGAACTGAGAAAGGACCGCGGGGTGCTCCAAATCCATAAATAACTCTACAAATAAATGAAACGGATCCAGGTAGGTAGGTACATACAGATTGGTTTTCAAGACGATTTCTGCAAATATGGAAAACATAGAGTGTAAGTTCTACTTATATCTAGTATCATAGAGTTCTATCATATTCTTTCACTTTAGCATCATGCAATAGAAATGAGATTTAGGTAAGTACTTGCGATAAGAACGCCTAAATTGTGCTGTATCTATTGTATTTTGTTTAATATGCCTGCCTAAGCTATTTTTATATTTGTCTAATGCGGAGTTACTTAACTATTACAACACAACACAGCACAAGGGTACCTGGTACTCGTAAGATCTTTCTTTATTTGTAACTTTTCATTGTGTGCTCTATATTTTGGTCATCATTGTGTCATAAATAATTTTATTTGTAAATCCATGTCTAGATCACAAGTTTTGAAAATAATAGCGCGCAGTCAATCGGTGTTTGTTGGTGTATTTCCCAGATGCGTTGAGACCAGAAGGCCCGAGGCCATTGGATCTACGAGCCCCCCGAGGCGGCCCGGAGGCAGCCCCCGCCATCCTTTCTAACAAATTGTTTTATATTCCACATACGAAACTATTTGGGTTCAAAGAACCTTCTGCTTTATTTGCCCACTTTCACGGCGATTTGACGTGTTCTTACTTTTTTATGATAATTCCCCAAAAAACGTAAAACCACGTCTACTACAAAGGATAACACATGTTTGTTATTATTATTGTCACAAAATGTTATTAGCATTCATCTCTAAATACAGCTTGGTAACAATTTTAGTTTTTGCTTTATCTCAGTTTGATGTTAAAGTAAACGTTGACGTATTAAACAAGCAAACTAAAGATAGAGACATTTTAGATTAGAATACATTTATATTTAGTTAAGTAGGTATCTAATTATAACTGTACGTGGAATTTTACAAAAATAATTACACAACGCTATTAAGTAGTTAAATAGAAATCAATGTTTGCCTTCAATGCAATAACGTGTTGGGTAGTCAATAAACGATTTATCTTGCTGGGTAAATCACTAAGGGGAAAATAATTACACACCGCTACCGCCGATACACTAATGTTACCGGTCGGTTGATAATTACGTTTTCAATCTACATTTCTGAATCAATTCAATCGAAAATCAATAGGTACAGTTTTTACAATAAAGTTAGCATGATTTTTACTATAGGTAACATAACTCACTACGAGTATTTGTGTAAGTACTTAAGTACCTACTTTAATATTGACTGTGATAACATCCATTACAACATATTTTTTATGTGTTTGTTTACCAATTAACATGATAATTATCGTGTATTAGTATGCGTTGCGTCAAAGTAAGTGTATTTTAAATTAAACATTGTAACTGTCTTGATTTAGTGATTTTAATATTATAAGTTTTCAGTAAGTAGATGATACTCGTTCGTAGCAGCGTGAACTAGTGTGGTCACCGACGAAGTCCGCCGCGCGTGCAGAGAGCCTAATTGCGCGGATTAGAGAAGCGTTCTTCGGTGACTGGCGATTGATGTCACCTCTGCACTCAACCAATCGATTACATACCCATCACCAACGCTGCTTGATGTCGGTAGATTGATAGGAAATACCTAGCGATCGATAGGCCTTCATTAGTTTCATGGTGTTATATTTTGTCGGCCGTTTGGTGTACCTAGTGGTTCAGAACGGACTACTATGCCGAGAGGTCCCGGGTTCGATTCCCGGCCGGGCAGAAATTGAAATGATGAATTTTAATTTCTGTGACGGGTCTGGGTGTGACTATGTAAGTAGTATATCCGTTAAGCTAGCACCCATAACACAAGCATTAAGTTGCTTACTTTGGGGCTAGCTGGCGCTGTGTGAAATTGTCCAAAGATTTATTTATTATTTATTTATTCATTTATTTATATTTTCATATCCTCACAACAATTCTTTGTATGTTCAGTTTGATTCTGGAGAATTCTTCACTTCACACATGACGATGTGTAACTAAAAGGATCAATTTTTAAAAAATGAGACGCGACGTTGTCTATAAAAGAGCGGTGCTTCCTAGCACAAGCAAATTATTTGTCCAGTTTCTGAACCACATTACAATGTGAATAGAGTTTGGTCGGTATTATGAAACGAGTCCCAAAACTCGATTCAAACTCAATCATAGGTTCAAGTCGTCATTGGTTGAATTTCAATATTTTGGCCAATGACGAATTCAATGTATGCTAGTAGAGACAGAATTGAGTTTTGAGCGAATCGTTTCATAATACTTGCCTGCGTTTTGTAAAATGAATATTTTTCATACATTATTATGGCTACCGACGTTGTTTATCACGTTTAAATTACTCACATTATTTTTTCACGGTACGCAATCAAACACAATGCGTAACAAATTGAATTTACAGTGAGACAAATACAATGCGAAATTAATACAATTCTGTCACGATTATTAGCTACGTTCGAATAAATTATGAACTGGGCTCATGCATAAATATTTGCATACACTTAACAATAATGTTGTGAGTTATTATTAATAATGCTGCGAGGTCTGGTTGGTACAGGTTATATAAGCTAAATAATTAATTAGGTGCAATAATTAATTACCTACTGAATAATTCAATTTATTTGACAAATAACTTTTTCATAGTGACAATTAAGTAAGTTTTTGTTGCATTTTATTTGCCTCGTCTATCTATTAATCCAATTCCCACTTGCTAAGTATTTAGAGAGCTCGACATGACCCAGAGGTCCTAGTTTCAATTCCCTCATGTGCCACACAAAGTGGGAAAATACGTTGTATATTGACTCTACTTTTTTTTTGGATTTTGAGCTTACTCCCCTTAGTTTCTTTACAATTTTACATGTTGCATCAGTTGCATTTTTCGTCAGTTGTTGCAATTAAGCTTAAAGAAGAAAAATACATATAAACTAGCCCGTTGTGTGCTCTGCCTAGGCACACAACTCTATTTAGGTCAGGCTTACCTCGGTGCCAAAAACATACAGAAGTGAAGGAAAATTGAATCTCTATGCGCTTTGTAAGATTTGATTTTGATAATGGAGATCAGATGTTATATTGTTGCAAAAAGCATTGAGCGAGCAAATTAATGAGGTACGGAATCACGGCATTATTAAATGAAGGTAATTTATGTTTGTAAGTATCGCTTGTACAACCAAATTGTTTTGTATCTGTGTAATGTACTGTATCTGTATAGGTAATTACCTATTAACATCTTGGCATCTTTTACAAAAGAGCGCTTTAGTCTACATATAGATGTTTACGGGCACGACTAATTAGAGAGGTTCAGCTTTCTTTGATGTTATCGATTACGACATCAACGTCTGAGCGTACTGTATGGGTATTGTGATTGAAGCTTCCGCCCACGGAAGTACGGCGAAGTTGCCCGCCCTCCGATAAGCTGATGGCTCGACCCTCGCGTGACGTCAACAAGCCCAACATGCTTCGTGTTTAATGCTACATTGTCACGTGTCACGAATTAAACGCTGAGTTTTTAATGATGGGTTGTTAATTTTTGATTAATTTACTTTATTAAATTCTTTAAGTTATTAGTCATTAATTTGTGGCTATTCACTTAATTAATTATTTTATTAATTGGAATTTCAAACATGATTGTTCATTTAAAAAAACTACTGTTTCAGGTTCTGGTGGGATTGAACCCAAACAACAGAAATACCATGGTCTTCGTAGCACCGAGCTATATTCGTAGCACTTACTGCCAAGTTACTACTGCGTAAGTTTTATCTTGATGATATAAAAGTGACATACTCGTACTAACATTTTTTGTTATGGATCCTTAATAAAACAAGCTTATTTTAGAACTGTTAAATAAGTAAAAGTGTAATATTTAATAGTCTTAATATATTTACCAGTGGTAGATCAACTAGCCAATTTGTATGTGAATGAAACACAATAAGTATGCTATTGCCTTTTAAATTAAATCAATGCTCTAGGTCACAACAGTTGTAAAATTTATACATTCTTTTAATCCCAGCCGGAATTGACTTGTAGATTGGTGGTGGTGGTGGTAGCACACTTCGTGATGATTTAATGAGAGATCTGTCCTTGTATATTAGGTAGAACAAAATAAATGAATATACGCGTAAACAAAGGTCTGCCAGAGCTTATTATGTCGTGAAGTGTTGTGACCACTACACCCTGTTTGACAAGTCCTCTAGGGCGAATAATGGAGACGTTATCTTGTGTGTATTTTTAGCGAGTTATTATTTCTTTTCTTGTAGCTGTCGTAATGATCACACCGCCCGCCCTCGCAGTATATGGGCGGGAATGTTTTATTATGTTTATTAAAAAATAGCGCTCAGCGTGACGATAGCCGGGGGCTGAGATGCGTTCACGTATTTATTCATAGCCTCCGAGCGGATTATATCCAGGTAACGCTGTCACCAAGACGACGATACTGAATTTTAAGTAGGTAGGGCTCGACAAGGAAAAATTAAGGTCCAGTATACATATTTCAGTAACAATCAATAGAAAGTTTACATAGTAGTCTTGATTTTGAATTTGAAACACATGCACGTAACTTAATATAATAATATTTTAGTTGTCTAAAATCCAATCCAGACAACTTGTCTGGATTTTATGATATTAATCCAGATACTTAGACTGAATTAATTTTCCGTTTTATTAAAATCTTTCAAGAGCTGGGCTTTGATCTTAAAACGCAGATTTGATAAATTGTAAGCTGTGTTAGTCTGACTTGTTTTTCGTCATAGATAAAACTTGAATGAATTACGTGTCTCCTCAAACGCCCAAGCCGTCGCATCCAGGTGACATCTGAGAAAAACGATGTTGGATGGCCGCTCGGAGGTATCTAGGTAGGTGTAAGGATGCTGCTAAGTGGAGGACCCTGCGATATTGGTGAGCGGGGCGGGGTTGGCAGGGCGGGCGGAGGCGCGGAGAGCGCGCGGGGCGCGGGTCGGAGCCGCGCAGGGCGGCGGGTGGCACGTAACAAGTGAAGCGGGCCCGGGAGCAACAGTCTGCCGCAGCCCGGCCACGCGGCCTCACACACCACAACAAGTGTCGCGCCCCGGTTCGGATCGTGCTGACCGCGTAAGTAGGCCTTAATTGCTCACCTTGTAGTCCGCGAGGAGGTCCGCGCGGCCGGCCGCNCCCGCCGCCGCCGGCCGCCGCCGACCGCGCGCCCGAGCGCGACCCCAACAACTATCCAGACTGATGGATAAGTGTCAATATCTTACCTGTTGAACCTTTAAAATACAGTACAATGGATTGTCTGGGTTCAATATCAAACTCTTAAATTACAAACCCCTAGCTAACTTATAAAACATTATTGTTATAACATCCTTCCGTTCATAGCTATATTCCTATGTACAATAGTGAATTTCATTCTACGTAATGACTAAGATCGTCAGGGTTGATGGTCGCCATTAAGGGTGAGGTAAAACGATGGCGTCAAACGAACCCTGATCGCGCCTGGGCGAAATTAACTTGCGTGTGTTATTTTTAGACGATTCCAATTATTTTGTGACGTCACAACCAGAAACAAAGCACAACAAACCTTAACGTCCTAGAATAAATAAGAACTAAATGAAAGCATTGATAATTGTGTTAATCTCATATTCATAAACACGAAAAGCTGCGAAGCTTTGCTTAGATTGTATTACCATCGCTTCGACTTAACTTATCATAAAACATCGTATTAAAGTTAAGAACGTGTACCTGTATTAATTTCTGAAATCCAACAACAGTCGTTATGGATCGCATAATTAAGCATTCGAAAAGTTTTGCGTGCGGCTAATGTTAAACAATGACTTAATTATGGAATATAGAGCCTCAGTTCTATAAGCTGCTTACCGTTGAATTAAATGCTCGCAATCTCTCTTTGTGTGAGGCCTGTGCCGTGCACACGGGATTCATTTCATTTCGTTAGTTTTCATTATCATCATCATCCAGCATTATAATTCCTTTAAAAGATATTAATTAAATCTACGTCATTAAATTCCTGAAAACAATTTTAAGGGTTTATAAAAACGACATGCATTCTGTTCATTTACAACAGTTCTCAACCAATACACTTATTTACAAAATATTAGAAGTTCTCTGTAATGGATCAAGTTGTCATGACATAGGTATTTCTCCAATCATGAGTGAAAAGTTGTGAGACGTTTTTCTTGCTACTAGTTTTTCCCTCATATCTTAAAAATAGTGGTAGGTACTGTACCCATACTTTACTTAATATAAATTGAAGTGACTTTATTATGTAGGTATGTATAAGTGATATGATTTACGTAACTTACATTAAATACTTCGAAAGTGGACATAAGTCCACTTACAATCTTCCAAGTTGTTCTACAAAGGGCGAGATTCTTGTAAATGCCTTTTGTACTAACAATATTAACCTTGTATTACGATAATAACTATATTGTCAGGGATTATACTCCAAAAATACTGGTTGTTAGCCAAATTATACAGTTTAACGACGAAATATGTCCCTAGGCGTATTTAATACAGAGGATTGAGGACGTTTGTGGATGAAGCAAACCCAGCGGCATATCTCGAATAAATAAGTGGGTGGATTGCTATTATTTGCTAAAGTCGTGTAGAGCCATACGCGACACCAAGTCGAATTTGTAAATAAAACCCCTTTTTGTATATTCTAAGCAGGAGCTCCACAAATAGTCTTACATTATTAAAATACTACAATACTACTATTAATTTCATATACCTACATAGGTGTACCTACTCGTAAAGACAGAATCATATTCTTTTGAAGTTAAGGTTTTTGTGTAGGTAACTATCTACGCTACAAAGCACTGACTATCAAGATTATACTCGTAGATGTACATAAAGCCTATTCTGACGCAATTACCCCCAAATCATGGGTTTAAATTTTTAATTTGATTTAGGTATAATAAGTTTATTAGCCCTGGTACGGCACATGGCAGGTTGGTATTGACTTTTTTGAAAACGTAATTCGCATCAAAATGAGATAACTTGTATAATATAATTTTACATGTCATAAAATAATCATTTGCGATTAGTTCAATTAGGTAATATGTTTTGATGTGATATAAAAAAGGTGTAGGTAATGAAACACCTAAAAGCTCTTTTCATGAATTAATTTCAAACGATTCAAATCAATGCAATTAAATTCGAGTCTGACAAAGAGCCCCATTGTTTTTTATGACCAGAGTTAAGGGTAGTCATTTTTGAGCTCGGACCGTAACGCGGCGTGGCGAGTTCAGTAAAAAAGTAATTGTTCCCTTCCAGTTTTCGTTTAGGCCATAACTTGGTGGCGCATATTGCTAATGCCCACCCGGACCGGCAATAAAAAGATAAAAACACGGCCACGGGGCTACGAAGACAATAAAGAAGGCTTATCGTTTCAAGGGGCTGTACTCCACCTGAAACGCTCCTTGTACACGCCAAATCTAATTGCGTTCTATCTGAACTTTACGCTGTGATTGTTTCGACAGTCGTCGAGTTACAGACGAGGGTGCGCTATTATTTTATTCGAGATAAAGACGCTTCGCGATAGGCGCACTACCTTTGACAATAAATCGAGATTGTTCTGTGCAACTGTCGGCGCCGGTTAGGCTTCTACTCAGAAAACATTTGCAACCCTTCAGATATGTTATTTACAGGGAGTTTGTGAGAAAAGACAACATATTTTTTAAATATGTATTTCACTCGCTAGAATGAAAGAAAGGGATAAAGTCGAATTATGAAATCGTTATACTCGTAGAGGGGAATTAAACTTAATCTAGTTAGTTTCAGAGCCAGGTAGCTAACTATTACAAGTACCTACCTATATTAACCTGAATCTGTGTTTCAAGTAGATGTAGATTGTGTGAGTCTGTTTTATTGTGACCCACAAAGGTGTGTGTGACCCACAAACGTCTGTCGTTAAATTTCCTTAATCTCGTGAGTGTATTCATAAGTACTTATTAAAATTCAAAACTCGCAAGCTCATGTATGTTTTTGGGCGTTTTATTTACGGATTTATTTTCTTATTACAACATTTTTAGTGTTATCAACAATTCAACATTCATGTTCATAATTTGTGTTCTTCTAAAATGGGTGCCTTCATAATGATGAATGAATCGTGCCCATCATTTCTTTCGTCTCTTATTTCCTCCCTTTTGCCCTATTTAGGACCGAAAGACAAATACCTGTCGTATGACTAAATCGTAAAAAAACTCTACTTATCCCATTTGATCAACGAAACAAAATACAGCGTCGAATTAAAAGCAAGCAGAGAATAATACGTAATCATTGAGGCTGTGCGTTTTAATTGGTTAATTAAAGTGACAAGATTGGAGCCGAACAATACAATAGGTACTCCTGTAGTCTCTTCCAGTCCACGTGGTCATTACCTCCAATGAGGGTCATTGGAGAGCTCGCATAATTATGTGTTGGAGTGGGGAATAAGATTTTAACGATTCATTTATTGCTCTGTTCTTTTTTGAATAATGAGGAATATTTTCATTGTAAAATATACATTTTATATTAAAGATTGTATCCATGTTTAGTTACTTTAAAACTGCGCATCTGGTTCTACACTTGTGTAACGGTTGGCAATAACATGAACAGCAGGCTTCTTTTATTAATTACGTTCCTATTGTTTAAAAGAAGTATTTTTAATTATCAAGTATCAGAATGTTATTAAATAGTGTGAGTCAATGAGTCAACGTTACGCGAATGCAATATGATAAATTGATTGGGAGATTGTTTTTGAACAATTAACTGTCTTAATTCCAATTCAGCCTTGACCTGAACTTGACTTCAACCGTTCACATTAAAAAAACAATGGGTTACCGTATGAATTCATTAAAAAGCACAAAGAAGATACATACATAAATGCACGTCTAACTTCATTTTGTTTGCCTTTATTTAAGAATATCGTTTGTTTGAAAGGTATCCTGACACTGAATATCCGACGAGAAAGTAAATAAGTCGGACATAAAAATAATGATGTAGCTAAGCATGGAAAAAGTTTGTAGTAGGTACAGAAACCTCTAACCATCGAATCTCGAAGGAAGTTCGTAAGTTAAATGAAGCCGTCGTAAATCGCAGCAACTCTAGCCGGTCGCTACAAAGTTGTTAATGAAATTAAAAATAAACTTACCAAACAAACGTCCACTGGGTACCGTTATTTTGACAACAAAACAGCAAGAAACAGTTTTGGATTACTGTTTCCTCCCTTTGTTTTTCGGGTGGTTCGATTTACTTAGAATTAGGCAATTGTTTATGTCTAGGAGATTTATTTTGGTCCCTTTCCTTGATTTTCCAGTAAATACAAGTAAATTAAGATGAAATGAAATGAAAATATTATTGTAGCTTAAAACATGTTTTAGGTAGCGAAAATTTCAAGAAGCTCTTAATAATCTGCCAGACTCATTCTTTATTCTTAGTGCATGACTGCCACTGTCCCGATAAGCCTGACATTACACGTTCACGTAGGCAGTTAGATAGCTTTTTTGAGGAAAAATCTGGAAGAATCGAGAATAAATGGTTATTATAGCGCACGCCCCTTCGCTCCAAGCCTGCCTGCCGTCCGCCGAACTAGATGATCAGCGAATTTTTATCGCCTCAATCCGAACGGAGAATTGTGCATTTGCTACGTGTCCTCTTAGCTTTTGTGTGGAAAACGTTTATTTTATTTTTAACTATAAAATAAATATTTATTACTATCAGTAAATGTCATCAATAGTAATAGCTTTACACGATCATAGTGGCGATTATTTTGTTCGTTTCGTTCGTTTCAGCCGAAAGACGTCCACTGCTGGACAAAGGCCTCCCCCAAGGATTTCCACAAAGACCGGTCCTGCGCCGCTTGCATCCAGGTACTTCCCGCGACCTTCACCAGATCGTCGGTCCACCTAGTGGGAGGCCTGCCCACGCTACGTCTTCCAGCTCGTGGTCGCCACTCAAGAACTTTTCTGCCCCAGCGGCCATCATCTCTTCGAGCTATGTGCCCCGCCCACTGCCACTTGATTTTAGCGATTCTGCGGGCTATGTCAGTCACTCTGGTTCTCCTACGGATCTCCTCATTTCTGATTCGATCACGCAGGGAAACTCCGAGCATAGCA